TGAGAGCATTTTTTTTTTTTTTTTTTGAGATGAGGTCTTGATGTGTTGCCCAGGCTGGTGCTGAAACTCCTTGGCTTAAGCAATCCTGCTGCTTCGGTCCCCTGAATAGCTAGAATTACAGGTATGCACTACTGCACTCAGCTCTTTATTCCTGATTTTAAATGGAATTTTTCCATTATTATTTAGAATGATTGTTTTAGATTTATTATAGATATCTTTTATCAGGTTAAGGAAGTTCTCTTTAATTCCTAACTTTCATCTATAAATGATACTGAACTTTTTTTTCTTTTTTAAATCAAGTGACTTTTAAAAAAATAATTTTTTATATATATTTTTATGTGGTGCTGAGGATCGAACCCAGTGCCTCACACATGCTAGGAAAGCTGAGCTACAACCTAGCCCCCTTTCTTTCTTTCATTCCTAACTTATTAAGAGCTTTTATCTATAAATGACACTGAATTTTCTTTCTTCCTTCCTTTCTTTCTTGGTACTGGGGATTGAACCCAGGTGTTACTGAGTAACACCCCCAGTCCTTTTTATTTTTGAGACAGGGTTCACTAAGTTGCTGAGGCTTACCTCAAACTTGAGATCCTCCTGCCTCAGTCTCCCGAGTCACTGGGATGAGAGGTGTGAGCCACTGGGCCTGGCACTAAGTTTTATTAAAAAAAAAAATTATTTTTTGGTGGGTGAGTGACACATACCTATAATTCCAGTAACTCGGGAGGTTAAGGCAGGAGGATCATAAGTTCAAGGCCAGGTTGCCAGCTTGGGCAAGAGAACAAAACCTTGTCTCAACAATAACAAAAAAGGGCTGGAATGGAACTCTGTGGTAGAGGAGGACTCCCGGGTTTAATTCCCAGTACTGGGGGAAAAAAAGCATTTCTTATATCCCTGGGGTTTATCGTATTTTCCCCCTTTAATCTGTTATGGTTGTGAATTATATATCTTAAAATTTTATAATGTTAACAGCTGTGTTAAACATAACTATGTATAGGAATATTCTCTCATTGAGTAGAATTATGGGTGATTTTTTTTCTTCTTTATGCAAATTATCAAAATTTTAAGGCCTGGGTTGTGGCTCAGTGGTGGAGTGTTTGCCTAGCGTGTGTGAGGCACTGGGTTCAATTCTCAGCACCACATAAAAATAAACAAAATAAAGAAGGTATTGTTTAAAATAAATTTAAAACTTTAGGCTATTCTTTTTTGTTTTTAAAATAAGCTCTGACACATTTTATTAAAGAAAAATTGTGCAGACTGTTCTGGCATACTTCTAACAATATCAGAATCACCTGGATCAATGACAGTGTGCATGCTCTGTACTATTTTCTGCATACTGTACCCAATTCAATATTATCACTGTAGCAATAGACATCAGTTTTGGCTAACATGTCATAGTACTATTCAGATTTCTTCAAAGCTGGGCATGTGAATGTACATGTGTATGTATGTATAGGCACATGTATTTAAACATGTATTTAAACAGTTGTTTGCAAGGATGACCAATGTTGCTTTGTCCTGTGTGGTCATTTTCAGAATTTGCTTATACCCCAATATGTACTTTCCACTTTTTATAACAAGCTGGAGCCAAGAGTCAATCAACTCCAGAGACTTTTTCCTCTTATTTGAGGCCACCACCTTATTGCCTTAGGTAAGAAATGGCCCCCAACCAAGAGCAGCTGCCATGATGGCCGGGGAGTAAGAAAAGAACCTTAGGCCATTCTTAAGTTTCTTGCCATTTTTTTTTTTTTTTTTTTTGTTCGGGGTGTGGGATACTGGGGATTGAACTCAGGGGCACTTGACTACCGAATCACATAACCAGCTCTTTTTTGTATTTTACTTAGAGACAGAGTCTCACTGAGTTGCTTAGCACCTTGTTTTTTTTTTTTTTCCTGAGGATGGCTTTGAATTCATGGTCCTGATGCCTTAGACTCTGGAGATGACAGGCATGTGCCACCGCACTTGGCCCCATGATTCCTCTTTTAAACTATCTTCTCACCTGTCTGTTTGCTTCCATGTAGAGTCCCAGTGTGCTTACTCGAGAGCAGAGCCCCTCTTTCATGATGTGGACATAGCAGCGCACCTGTGATCTGGCCAAGTCATCCCACCGATCTTTTCGACAAGCATTCCAGCAGGCATCATAGGGAGCCAAGGTCAGTGTATTGGCTTCTTTTATAAAACTGTAAATATCTTCAGAATGCCCAATCCAAGCAAATAAAAGAGAGAGAGAGAGAGATGACCAAGATATAGAATCAGTCAAATTTTTGAAAGAGGGTACAGTTAACATGAACCCTTTGGAAATCCCATTACAATCAGAAATACTAAATCAAATTTAAGGAGGCAATGTATTTCTCTGAGTGTTTGAAATATTGTTTGATATAAAAAGGCTTAATAGGATAAGCCCAGTGTGATGGTACATGCCTATAATATTAGCAGCTTGGGAGGCTGAGGCAGAAGGATCACAAGTTCAAAGCCAGCCTCAGCAACTTGGAGAGGCCCTAAGTAACTCAGCAACACCCTGTCTCTAAATAAAATATATATAAAAAAATGTCTGGGGTTGTGGTTAAGTGCTCCTAGGTTCACAAAAGAAGGAAAAAAAGCTTAATAGAGGTCCCATAAACAAGTTTGAACAATAATCAAATACTCTAGGGAAAATAAAATAGATGATTCTTATAAATCAAGAAGGAACACAAGCAAGTACTCAAGTACTCAGGCTTTGTGATGCTAGTCTCTATTACTATATCAGCTGTGCTAAGAAAGAAGGAATATATAACTTGGAGCCAGAGTAACTGGGTTCCAGTTTTTCAGGTCTCACAATAACCCTTTGAAATCCTTTATTTTATGGTAAGAAAACCAAGAAGGCTAAGTAACCTGCTTCAGGTCACAGAATCAGTTAAGAGGTAGAGGCAGATTTCAAACCTAGGTCTGTTTGATGCCAAGTACTATGATCTTAATCATTATGCTATACTGTTTATTCATTTGATAAATATTTTTTGGTCCCTAGTTGGACTGTAACTGTACACTTCTTCACCTTCCTTCACTAGACAAAAGAAGCTGAGTATAATCAGGACTAGGTTTATGCAGACCCTGAAGAACCAGAGAACTGAGATATGGCAAAGAGAGTTTAAAGACATAATGGTCTAGTGAAGAACCATATAGATCTATGAACCACACAATGGGTCTGGAAGCTTGACCTGCCTGTCCCTAAAGAACACTGTGACAGAACTTGCTAAGCAAACTTACCTAGAGCTCAGAGAGTGGGGTCAGCTAGCCTATCTTGCCCTGTAGACTAAACAAAAGTCTGCCACCTTAAGACTAGCTTTTTGGGTTGGGACTCTCCAAAGAACTCTTACCTCTTCTCTTATTACCCCAACCCAAGCACTGACCTAAGGACTTCAGCTCCTTTTTCTTTAGATCCTCCTCTTTTTCTTCTTGCCCTTGTTGTGAGGAAGCTGAGGAAAACTGTTTTCTTACTAAATATGGAATCAGTTCACTCCGGATAGAAGTGATTGACCTAGGAAGAAAGAGTGACCAAATATGAGAAAACAGACTGGATTCTATTGGGATCAAAAACTCTGTGTATCTGGGGAAAAGCCAAATCTTAACATACCACCTTGGGACTGAAAGAGATCAAACATGGAATGGATTTGGCAGTTCTGGAGGAGCAGAGGCTCTGAGTTCTCTTTATCTGCCTCGTGGGGTGGGAAGGTAATATAATGAATCTAAACCTTGTCAAAGTAGAAAAATCTTTCATCTAGTCCACATACATGGTATGTGGAGCATGTATTTGAATGTACATGTATGTATAGGCACAAATATTTAAACATGGTGCTCTGCCTCCTCATTGGCAACAACCCATGAGAAGGCAGAATATTCTGGTCTTTTGAGGAAAGTTATTTTAAAAATATGAAAACAATTTTTCTTCCT